CCAGCCCAAGGACCACATTTTGAGAAACAAAACACTAAATGACTTAAAGGACCCCTGGTGGCCCAATGGTTACATGCTCAGCTACTAACTGAAAGGCTGGCCGGTTTGAACCCACCCAGCCGGTCGGCGGGAGAAAGACCTGGCAATCTGCTTCCATGAAGATCACAGCCTAGAACACCCTACGGGGCAGTTCTACTCTGTCACATGGGTCACCATGAGTTGAAAATCCCATGATGCATGTTAATGAAGAAAAATGGCAATTTCATAGAGACGGCCTGAACAGCTGGGCCTGCCCCAGAGCCCTCGTTACCTATGCTCGGGAAAACCTTCTATTAGGACCCCACCAACTCCTTAAGCCAGCAGCTCTTGGCACAAGTCAGTGTTTACGCACAATTCTTCAGGCATACTGCCAAGCTACGTCCTCCTGGAAAATCTACCAAGGACAGAAAAAGCTGGGTCCCGACCTTTTCTGCAAAAATGGAACTTGGTAGCATGGGAGCGAGACTGAGGTCGGACTGAGGCGCCCAGCTTCAGGAGGGGCAGGGATGCCTGGGGCATCTGTCAGGGGCAGAGGGCTCTCCTCTGGGTGAGGCAGGCGGGGCAGCCAGGTAAAGCAGCTGAAGGCGCGCAGGTTGTCATTCACCTGGCAGATGCATAACTCACAGGGATCACCCGGCGACCAGATCTGTCCAATCGGAAACTCAACCCCGTTGTCGTCCAGAGAGCAGCCTGGCCAGGGGACAGGGAGGGAAAGGACGAGTGCGCGGAGTGCCAAGGAGGGCCCTGAATGCCCGCTGGACCTGCAGCACCACCCGCCAATGGACTGCCAGACACACACACCTCTGCTCCTGCACACTGTAGACAGCTCCCGTGTGCAAACGCAACCGCCTGCTGGACCCAGGGGCCACCCGCAGCTGCCTGCCCAGCTCCCTTGTTTAGTGAAGTTTACCTGCAAACACGCGCCTGCTATACGGACACACACACAAACATGCACTTACACACATACACAACACACACACACTTACCACACTCACAGACCCAACTCACACACACACTCAATTACATGCACACACACACATAACTCACACAGACTCATACACTCAAACACACACACAGACACAGCTCACACATGGACACAACTCACACACAAACACCCTTTCAGACACACATACATACACTCTCACACACACACTGATATACGCAAACATGTACACACACTCACACACAGACGCAGCTCACACACAGACACATACAGACATACACACATCACACAGACACAACCCGCACAGTCCAGTGGGTGAAGCTCAGCCTCCCTCCTCACAGGCATCTAACACCTGTGTTGGGTGAAGTCCTGGGATGCAGGGCTGGGTGGCCCTCACCTGTCATGGGCGTGGACTCCCGGCAGGTGAAGCAGCACTGTCCAGGGCCCAGCCACCACTCTTCACGGGGGCAGGCCAGCTCTGGACATGGCGTGAAGGAGCATTCCACCTCCCCATTCTGGAAGAGAACCAAAGGGCATGGAACGGTGAGCCAGGAGGCTCCCCTGCACCACCCCAAGTCACCTGAGGGCTAAAGAGGAGGTTAATAGGCCACCATCCCTCCCCTTTGCCCCTCAAGTAAAAGTGACAAATCTCCAGGGGGAGGGAAGGGCGAACCCCTCACTAGGGGCTGGGGTGTGAGGCTAGGGCGGGGGGCGCACTCCAGGAGTTTGCAGGGTATTGCGCTGGGTGTCCCAGAACTGCCCTGGCCCTGGACCCCACCACCTCTCATCCTCCATCCAGGCTCCCTGCTTCCATTACCCCTCTATACACTCTCCCTCTGCAGCTCAAACAGCAGCCTGATCAGATCACTCCACTGCTCACCATCCCAAGCAACTCTGCAAAGTTCAGACTCCTGAGCCTGGCTCGGAAGGCCCTTCATGGCTGAGTCCTTCATGGCTGAGTCAGAGGCAGAAGCTCCACCCAGAGCCCCTTCCCCAAAGTGCTGTCCTTGGCCAGTGGGTGCCACCTTCTCCAGAGACACCTGGATTGTTACTTCAACCTCCACTCCCTGGGGTGCCAGGGCAGCATAGCCCATAACTGATGGATGCTGGGGGTGGAACAGCCCTTACGTCTGGACCAGACCACCTCTGGGTACAGTTCGCTTGCACTCCAGAGCTCCCCATCGGGTCAGCCTGAGGCTGGGCTTCTCCTGAAACCACGGCTTTCTTGATTCTTCCCCTGCCCTTTCCTGCTTCCCTCACTGGTTCTCCTGAGTTGATCGCTTGCACTAGAATCCCGCCTTAGGCACTGTTTTGAGGAACCCAACGCAAGACATGGGGTCTGCCTGCAGCCTCCTCTCCTGCCCGAATCCTCTCTCTCGCATTGTTCCAGCCAGGATGGATGATCCAGTCCTTAGAGCCTGCCGTGTGCCTGCTCACCACCTGCCCTTGGCTCACGCAGTGCCCTATGTGGGGCACACCTCCCTCAGCTCTTCTAGGGCCTGACTGGGCCCAGCACCCTTCAGGTTTCATCTCAGCTTCTTTCCTCCAAGAAGGCTTCCCTGAAGCCTACAATCTGGTGAGGAATCCCAGTTGCCTGTCCATCGCCCACCTGGATGGTGAGCTCCCCGATACAGCGGACCAGGGCTGTGTCCCCAGCACAGTGCCAGGCACACAGTAGGGGCTCTATAAAGGGCAGTGCTGAAGGGTGAACTTCAAGAAGCTGCGGGAGAGCCTTGGTGAACGCAGGTCCCGTTAGCACCTGTGCTGTCTCAGTCTCCCCTCCGTTGTGTGGCAGCTCCTCTCCTTGTCAAGGCATCCCGGGTCAAGTCCTGTGACCCTACCCTCTCTCTGCTCCCCACCAATTCCAGAGGGGTCCAGGGCCCTCAGCCCACCTACCTGGCAGACACAGGTGGTGCACTCATCACCACCCCCACTGAACACAGCGCCGTCCGCATACCACCGGCC